ATATCGTGTAATCGGGCTTAATACATAGTCCAATTCCAATGGCCCAAATGTGGGTCCCAATAAGTCCAAGGCAATATTAGGGTTTTCTAAACCCTAATTAGGGTTTCCCATCCAATCATAGCCCAATAGGCCTAAAACTGAATCTTTAAGCCCATTAGGGTTTCATTAGGTCAATTAGGGTTTTGCTAGTGGGGCACCACCCACTACTACCTCGGGTAGTGGTGGTCAACGGAGGCTCACGGCGGCTCGTGGCGGCGGCCACCACCTTACGGTGGTGGTTTTGAGTTTCTTTTCATTATTCTTTTGATAGTTAAAATTACAATGCTTTAATCCAAAAATAACACACACACACTAACTAACATAAACACACACACACACACAGCCACCCTAGTGGTGGCCGGCGGTGGCACATGGTGGCAGCCACCACCTCACGGTGGTGGCAGTGGCTGTTCTTGATTTTCCAACTAGACCAACACACACCACACGCAGCATTACAAGCACACATACATAATACACACTCACAGCCGGTTGCAAAACTCGAACACAGTCCTCCCTCCCCGATGACATGCGGTGGCGACGACGTTTGGCAGCAGCTCCCGGTGAAACAACTGCGAGACAGCGCCGGAAACGGAAGTGCTAGCGGCAACAACAGCGTCTCCGGTGGTGTTGATGACGACAACCACCATGGCCGGCCGCCATGGTGGTTCTTCACAACCCCTTCTCGAATGAACCTTCCCCCTTAGGCGAAACCACCTCGCGAGCCACGAACAATACCGTCATTCATTGGTGGTGACTTAAACCGCAGCCCACACGACAGCCTCAAGACGACAGGCGGCTGCCGGAGAGCACCAGCATCACAGCGAGGTCGCATGGCGACGACGTCTTCAACAAAGCGTGATGGAACGGATACGACAGGTGCTCTGGTCTCGGAGACTTCCCTTGCAGAGCTGGTCGTCGCCGGAAGAAAAGTAGTGGCGGTGGTGACTCAACGAAGGGAACGACGACGCTGGGGTGGGGAAATAAGGTGGACGCGGGTGATGCTTCATAGTAGGGTTAGGGTTTGCATTTGATTAAATATGAAGGCTGCACGCTAGGGTGACGGGTTCACCCGTACCCTTCAAACTTCTTTCATATTATTCGAGTTCAGCCCCTCCTTCACTAAAATCTTTTCAACTTTAATCCAATAGTTACCCTTTTGCCCCTGATTCCATAATTTCATTTCATTTTAGGTCTAAAACTTACCAAATAGCCCCTTAGCCCCAAAATCTCTTCAAATGAAGTCCCAGAAGTTTCCATTTAGTCCTTGCCTTCATATATACTTACAAAATAAGTCTGAAACTTACACTTTCAGCCCCCAACTTCTAAATTAGTATCAATTAACTCCTCAAGACCGACACCTTGCTATATAATTATTTATTTTAGGGCTACTATACACTCATCAATTTATTTATTTATTTAATAAATAAACGGGGTGTTACAAGTAAGCTCTAATTCCATCTTCTCTATCCATAATCTTCTTTCTTCAATTTTATTCGTTACCCTGCTGATTTGATCATTTAGGTTAGAATTACTTAGACGCGTTTTCTTTAAACTATCACTAAAATTAGAGACAATATAATTTAAATCATCTAATTTAGGTTCGTAACGAGTAGCAGGAATATTAAGAGATTTAAGTATAGAGTGTACCTTGTCGATGACCTTCTCGTATTCTTTCACCTGTTCAGAAACAGGCGTCACAACAAAACAATTAATAGAGGCCTGGCCGCCATTAGTCGTATAGCCCCTCTTTTCCGAGACCCCACTCTGAACCATTAGAAATCTCCCTTCATACTCATGTACTTCAGAGTTTGAAACATAATACCCACCATGTGTGGGTTTCCGAACCTCCTCGTCTTCTGAATATGTGGACCATACTTCAACACGTCCATCTTTGTCACTACCTTCCTACACAATCAAAGCATGCTTTGCATTCTCATCACTCTTCTTCCTTAGATCCTCTATCTTCTTCATCCTTCTCAGTCTCATTCTTTTCATTCATTCTACTCAACATACACTCTTTGGCAAAATGATTATTGCCATGACAGTAATTGCAATCATAGCCAGAATCTCCCAGCAGCTTCTTTTCTTGTTTTTCTTCATCCTTTTGAGTGTTCTTGAAGCTCTCATCATTTGGCTTGTCTGAACTGTAGCTTCCCAGCCTATTCCTGTTCTTGAAATGTCCAAAATTCTTTTTAACAAACTTTTTGGGATTAGATACTAACAGAACATATTCTTCTTTCGTAAGATCACAATCCGAAAAGTCAGATTCAGAATCTTCTTCAGCTACATTTTTGCCCTTCGCAGTCAAGGCCAACGAACCCATGCTAGAGACGAGCTTCACATCTTTCGTCACTTCATCCTCGTGGGATCCTAGAATTCCCACAAGCTTTGCTAAGGAGTAGCTCTTGAACTGTTTGTGTGCTTTCACTGCAGACACAACTGCTTTCCATTCCAATCTCAATCCATTCATAAACGTGACTTTCTGCTATATTACTTCATGCCTGAGATTGTGTTTCAACATCTTGCTTAACAGATGATTAAAACGATTAAATGTATGATCCAGTTTTTCATTAGGCTTTTGAAAAAAAGGCTCCAAACTCTGACAAAAGTAAATTTTGTACAGAGTGTTCCAGATCTGCGTCACTTAAATAAAGCTCCTTTAACATATCCCATATCTCCTTCTTCGTATCACATGCACTCACCAGAAGAAAGGTATCTGGAGGAAGAGCAAACCTTATTATTCTCATTGACTTGATGTTACTTAGCAGCTTGTCTTTCTCATCCTGAGCAATTCCTGTATGTTCAATAAGAAGTGCATTGTAGTCAACTTGAGTCTTTATAACCTTTCTGGTAGCCGTGTGAGAATACGTCTCCTTTGTTATGGCGTGCCATATCGTGGTGCCATGTTCTTTAATGCCGAGAAGATAGTCTTCGAAGTGCAAGGCCCATACTTTATAATCATATGGGAAGAGAATTGGGATCCTAGTAGTAGATCCGATACTACTAGAGAGATTGAAAGAAAGAGTATGAGGATCTTCGTGCTGCATTATGTTGAGATTCGCAAAAACTTTTATAGAATCAGATGTGTAAAACAAAACTCGAATTTATGGTAAAGACTAGGAATCAGATCTGACGTCTACAATCGATAGAAACGGTGAAGACGACAAGAACAGATTCAACAAAAACGCAAAACCCTAACAGAATTCGACAGAAGAGTAGCGTATGATTTACACTATCTCCTGCTCTAATACCAATTGTTGAAACAAAAAGACTTAGATCGATAGATTCTAAAATAGTAGAGTGAATCAAATAACAAAAACAATGATCAAAGATATGTCGAATGCTTAGATTAACAAAGTTCTAGAAGAGTTCAGCGAGAACTTCTCTGTGAAAGCTAGGTAGGGCAATACAATTGATAAACCCTAATAGATACATGCATGCAATAAATAGGCTAGACAAATAAGGGCTAAACACGAGAATAGACAGGCCCATCTCGTCAAACTAAGCCTATACTATATACATTTGACACAACACAATAAGCCCAACAAATACAGTTAACAATATGGTTTTTGTTTGAATATATCTAGGATTGGGGTTTGATTTCATCTAGGTACTGTGAACTTCATCTTCATCGTCTTCATCTTTATCAATATTCTTTCTCCATATATTTTTAACAACTATTGAACAACGGATGAACCTTATTTGGTTTTTGAACCAAAAGATCGATACATAGTTTTTGTTTGAAGAAAAAAAACAATGATGGGTTTTCCTAACCCTGAAAAAAGAAGGAATGTATCCCACCTGCAATAGAAAATTATGAGATAACAGGGAGGAAATTTCATCTGAGAGAAGGAAGAAAGTCATTCATGGCAGATCTTGGGGAAGGAATATAAAGAAGAAAGAGGGATTTAACTATCCAGCCAAACTAAGCCTTCAATCGATCTTCACTATACCGACTCCATCACCACAGATCAGCCTTACGATCTCCATCTTAGAGTCATGCATTTATCATCATATCTTCACATAATTAAACAACGCCTGCTGCTCTTCCCCTTGGCAACCGGCAACTCAGAAAATAATAAAAAAAAACTGCAAAAAAAAGAAGGGGGTTGTGATCGATTGGAGAGAGATTTAGGGAATCGAGGAGTTGAACCTTTGTTCGTCTTTCTCTTGATACACACTCATTACAATAATAGATAAATAAATTTGATTTGAAGATGTTAAAATGGAGAAATGGGTACATGAACGATTAGCTCAAAATCATACTGGTCAACCTTAGACTTTTCAAAGTCAACATGGGTTGAGAGAAAGTATGTCTATATTGCAAAGGTAACAGGTTACCCTTTCCGAAATTCTAAAATGACCTAATAGACCCGACAAAATCCACTTTATGTCTCCATAAAACAACAAAATAACTTTAGAGACTAAATCGACCAATTTTGGAAAGTTTATAAGGTATTTGTATCATTTCCCCTTTAAATATAAAAATATACATCAATAAATGCATATTTGCCCGAGCATTTACCAGGTGGAAGGTCTGAGTATTTGTTGGATCTGTGGGAGTTTCCTAAAATGGATAGGTGAATTGATCAAAATTCGTTTAATGGATAGGTGAATTGATCAAAATTCATTTAACGGTTACAAAACAGAAGAGTTAGGTCAAGGGACCAAAAGAGCAATGAAACTACAAAATAGGGAAAAAAATTGTAATAGATGAATCTTGAGGACTAAAACCGTTATAGTTTTTAATCCACAAGGACGAACCATGTAATTTACTCTAACAATTAATACAAAGTTTGGTTGACTTTGCCATTTAACCATTGCAACTTGCAATCGCGGACAATACAAAAAGCTTTGTTGACCGGTTGACATTTTTTTTTTTAAATTTATTATTATTTGTCAGGGCATTTGAAATTTCTTCCTTGACTTTATTATTTAGAAATGTATGTCGTCAATTTGTTGAAATTACTAGATCTTGCCGATCATTGGGTTGTGTGGTTCACATGCATCCCTAATTTCTTTGCAATTATTTCTTAAGAATCTCTCTCAAGAACGATTTGATTCAAGAAGATCTTTAATGGCGTCTCTTCAACTTCACCCCATCAAAAGAGTTTTAAGTATCATGTGTTTTTAAGCTTTAGAGGTGAAGACACACGTAAGACCTTTGTTGATCATCTTTATGCTTATCTTAAGCAAAAAGGTATTCACACCTTCAGGGACAACGAGGAACTCAAGAAAGGAAAACGGATTGATGAGCTCTTCAAAGCTATTGAAGAGTCAAAGTTCTTTATCATTGTCTTCTCCAAAAACTATGCATCTTCCTCTTGGTGCCTGAAGAAGGTTACAAAGATTATGGAGTGCCAAGATGAGAATGAGCAGATTGCTTACCCGCTCTTTTATGATGTGGAGCCAAGCGACATCCGCAAACGAAGTGGGCCAGTTAAAACAGCCATCAGCAAACATAAGACCAACGAACACATAGAGAAATGGGAAAAGGCTTTGGAAAGTGCAGGCAATCTGGTTGGGTGGGATCTGAAAAACATTGCTAATGGGTATAAATTCCTTCATCATATCTCTGCAAAATTATTCTTTCATTTTTGTATCTGTAATCTAGGTCTGTGGGGATGTAGAAGGCTCTTTCATGGTATGATCAATTGTTATATTGTAAATTTTTAACTCAAAGTTGAGTCTTGTATGTGATGATTGAACCTCCTTAAACTCATCAACAAATTGAAATACATTCCTCCCTTGATTTATCAAGCATGACTTTGATTTGTAGATAGTACTTTTGTACTTCAATTTGGGCTTTTAAGTATTACCTATTTCCTTGCTTTGTGTTGCAATCCATTGTAACCGTTTCCTTCACTTTTGAGAGTAATATTTGCCTTTTTTGCAACAGCTCTTCAAGCCCTTCTTTCTTCTGTTTTCCCATGTTTCCACAACAGCAAAAAATCACAATTTTCTCAATTTAACTTGAAAACACAGCCGCATACATTGATCTTCTTATTTCCAACATTCTGGACACAGGAAATATGTGTATGTTGTTACTTTGCAAATGGTTGTATGGTATAGTGCTGAAACTAATTGATTCGTGTGGGATATTCTTGATCAAGCCACATGAATCTTGTTTGATCTGCAGGCATGAAACTGAAGCCATCAAAAAAATTGCTGAAGAGATTTCACTCAAGTTACGTTCCATTCATTTGAGCAATGATGAAAATCTGATAGGCATGGACCGCCGGATGCAAGAGCTGGAGTCGTCTTTGGGGATCAGTTTGAACGATAAAGCGCGCATGATAGGGATCAAGGGTATGGGAGGCATTGGGAAGACAACATTGGCTAGATCTATATTTAATAAAGTGTCTTCCCTTTTTGAAGGTAGTTGCTTTGTTGATGATGTAAGGGAAGTTTCAAAAAAGAAGGGTTTGCGGTCATTGCAAAAACGAGTCCTTTCAGATGTCCTGAACATTGAACACAAAGGAAGTGTTTTAGATGGGGAAAAAATCATGAGAATGAGGCTACGCTATATAAAGGTTCTTCTTGCTCTAGACGATGTGGATAATCCGAAGCAGCTTGAGGCGTTTGCTGGTGATTGGTTTAAGGACGGAAGTAGAATCATCATTACAACAAGAGACAAGAAAGTGCTGCTAGCACATGGAGTGAATGCGAAGTGGATTCATGATGTTGATTTCTTGTCGGATGAGGAAGCAATGAGCCTGTTTAGTAGGTATGCATTTAAGAGATATATTCCAGATAAAGGGTTTGAAAAGCTGTCATCAGAAGTAGTACGTTATTCTGCTGGTCTGCCCTTAACGATCAAAGTTTTGGGTTCGCATCTTCGTGGTGAAGAGGAGGTTGTATGGATAGATGGACTAAAAAGACTAGAAACAATTCCATCGTTGGAAACTCTAGAGGTATTGGAAATAAGCTATGACGGCCTGGAGGATGATCTCAAGGAAATATTCCTAGATGTTGCATGCTTCATGGTTGGTTTTCCTAAAGATGATGCAATTAGAGCGTTTGATAGTTGTGGATTTCGTGGTATATACGGCTTAAGAGTTCTTGAGCAAAAATCTCTCATAACAATTTTACATAATGGATTGGGTATGCATGATAGAATAGAAGAATTGGGCAAGAATATTGTTCGGCAGTCGCACCCTCGTGAGCCGAACAAACATAGCCGACTCTGGATTCGCGAGGAAATTGAAGAATTATTCACAGATGATGTGGTAAGGATCAGCTTTACTAAAACAACCAATTTTTGATTAGCAATGACACAAGTTTCATGGCGACTGCTTTTCAATTGTAGGGTACTGAAGCGTCAACATGTACTGGACTGGAGCTGGAGCTGACCGAAGTGAGTCCTGAAATTATTATAAAAGGCCTTGGAAACCTGAAGAAACTTAGATATATTTTTCTTACTGGGAGTGACGATGACTGTTTCCCTAGTGACTGGAAGTTTGATCAGGAAAAACAGTACTTTCCGAATTCGTTGCAGTTATTGAATTGGAATGGTTACCCTGGTCGGTTTTTACCCCAAACATTTCAAGCAAATAATCTTGTTGCACTTCAATTGCCTGATAGCAGAATCGTGCAACTTTGGGAAGGAAGAGAAAGAAAGGTACAATGGTTGATTCATTGTAATGCTTTTCATCTATTTGTTAGTTGATATATCAATACTCGTCTAATTTTTGTTCTTTTTGCATATAACAGGTTCTTAAGAAGCTCAGGTTCCTAGACCTTAGTTGTTCAAACGTGAGGACTTTTGACTTTGGGATGACTCCGAATCTTAAGAGGTTAGAGCTTAGAGGATGTCATGATTTGATACAACTTCATGTGCCCCCTGGATGTCTAAAAAGGCTTGTCTACTTAGATTTACTTTGGTGCTCATCGTCTGTATCTTTTTCGTTTATCAAACAATTGGAATCACTTGAGCTTTTTAGTTTACCTGACTTATTGGTGTCTGTGGTGTGCTTGGAGGAATTCCCAAGGTACTCCCGCAACAATCTGCCAAAGCTACGGTTCATATTTGATTATTCTAAAGAACAATCCTCATCAAATGGAACTAGTCTCGAGTGTGTCTTACTAGATCTCCAGCCTTGCACAAAGCTTGAGCATGTTTCAGAAAGCATTTGTGGTTTACAACACATAAGGTGCCTTACATTGGATGGCTGTATTCCAGAGGTACCCAAGGACATTGACCAGTTGAAATGCTTAGAAGAGCTAACTTTGTACTCTACACACCTCATATGTCTTCCGGATAGTGTTTGTATGTTGAAACATCTAAAATCTCTCAAAATTAAAGATTGCCGGTATCTTGAAGAGTTACCAGAGAATCTTGGTTTGTTAGAACATTTAGAGGAACTGAGTTTGTCGTCCACAAGTATTAGACGTCTTCCAGATAGCATATGTATGTTGAAACAGCTATTATCTCTCAAACTTAAATCCTGTCTGCTTCTTCAAGAGTTACCCAATGATCTTGGCCAGTTAGATTGTTTGGAGAAGCTAAATTTGTTGTCTACAGGTATTAGAAGTCTTCCAGATAGCATTTGCATGCTAAAACATCTGCAATTTCTTAACCTTGAATCTTGTCAGCTTCTTGAGAAGATACCCGAGGATATTGGGCAATTAGAATGTTTAGAGGAGCTGAACCTGACAGAGTGTGAATCTTTAGAAGATATTCCAAACAGCATCTGTAAGATGAAATGTTTGAGATATTTCTATCTCCCTTTTTGTAGTCGAGTCCAGAAATTGCCTGAGGAACTTGGAAGTTTAGAGTGTTTAGAAGAGTTGGATATAAACTGTACAGGAATTAGTCATCTTCCACATAGCATTTGTTTGTTGAAAGATCTGCGTATTGTTGGATCTGAGTCAGTTCTTCAGTCGTGTGCTTTTGAGATACAGACCTCAGAAACTGAAACCTCCACACAAGCCTTGGATAACACAGCCGCCGAGACCAAGACCGGATTAAGGAACCAATTAACAGAGAACTATTGCAACAGGTATTTCCTCTGTTTTTCATAAATTGTCTTTTTTTAATCAAAATTTTCAGTTAACACAACAATAGTTACATCATAAAATACTAGGCATAATTAATTATAATTTGATTGTGTATAAATATATTACTAACACTTTGTACATACTTCTAATGCAACAAGAATCAGTCTTAAAATTATATAAGACTGAAACAAAATTTTACATCTAAAGTGAAGGAAGACAAGGCATTCTCTTAGGAGTTTGCATTGTACATGATAGAATTCAGAGTAGAATACATAAATCATCCCTGTGGTTTGACTCTGCTTATGGATCAAGTTCAGTTTTTTCGTATTTTACTCGTACCATCGCTCAACTTTTTATCTGTGTCTCTCATCATGTAACTCATATGCAATGACTCTTTTACCCGTTATCCTGTATTTTTATTAATTGTTTTATATTAATATAAAAATTCAGATTGTCCAATCACCCACCCCACCCTCTCCCTCCTACCCGTGCTTTTAAAATAACTATACATACTGACAACGCATGTGTGTGGATCGGTTAACCATTTTCTGTGGAGGGGAGTACAAGTTATTTTCAAATATTTCAATGGACAGTATGTATAGTTATTTTAAAAGCACAGCAAGATCCATGTATGTATATGGGTGAGAATTGCATAGCATGACACATGCCATTATCTTATATGCTTAAATGATTTGTCAAGCCTTGTTGAACATATATTTTTGTAAAGCATTTGTGGAGCCTGTATTTGTAAAGAAATTGTTGTAAGCCCCAATGCATATAGTAGTGATTTGTAAAATGGTCAATTTGTGATTCTAGCTACAGCGAAGACAGGTGGACACAGTATGTTTTCACATTTAATAACAACTGTACATAGTTCAACATCTAAAAGAAACCTTTTTTATGTAAAAAGAAAAGTATCAAAAGCATGGAATTCATCATATCTTTTTGTGAAGCCTAAAAGTGTATTTGAAATGTTTTTAGCCAGCAAATTGTAACCATTAAGCGTTTGACTTATCCATTTAGCTTTTTAATTGTTCAGGTGGTGTTGGTCAGTGGTGATGGTGTTGGTGGTGGCGTTGTTGGTGATGCAGGTGGTGATACAAGTAAAAGTTTGAAAGAAGAAGGTAAAGTTTTTGAACTTCATGCAACTAGCAAGTACCGAAAAAAGCGGTATAGCCCATGTCACACTTTGGTATAGTATAGGGGAATGAATGCTATGTTGGATGTTCTCATGTTCTAGAACTTGTATCTATGTAAGGCTATACGGAATGGTTGGTTTTTTGACGCGTAAGGTAACTTGTCAAGGCCAAGTCTCGCGAGAGATGTTTTGGCTGGAGGAAAATTCCAACAACTATGGAAATACAATGTTTCTTCTGTCGGAGATCACCCACAAATGGGATAATTAAGCTCAACATCATCCATCTATTTCGAGGCATGATTCACCTTCATGACAGAACTTTGGTCAGCTATAAACCTCTCGGTAAAAGTAACATCTCAACTCAAAATTAGTTTCCCCTCAGATGGATCGAGACCAAACGTAATACCCACATCACTTGATAGTAGTCACAAGTGATCGATTCACCTCTTTCGTGTCTCATCTAGTTTATAATTCATTAACACGGTAATATGAAATGCAACAAAAAAAGAGCCATATAATCATTGGTGTTAGTTTATAACATACGTTACTTTCATATGTTTTGTATATTATAGGGACCCCAATGTAACTTTCTCATATATAAATATATTGCATACACAACCTCCAAGTAACGAGGCTTTTATCCTAATTAACATGGTATCAATATACATTTATTTACCCAAAATACTAAACAAATTAATCGCTCAAAAGATTACTTTTATTCGATAAATGATCTATATACACCAGAAAAACGTGCACAACAATGATAGCAATCCTTATCAAAATTAAACTCTAAACAAAAGCCTATAAATCATGAAAAGATAAAAGGAAACAAATCATAGCAATCTTCTATGATATGATAACATCGATTTCTTTACTCCCCCTTAAGTTGGAGTGTGTAAGTCACGAACGCTCAACTTGCACAGTAAGGATTGTAGCCATGGTGCCCCTAAAGCTTTTGTAACAAATCGGCCACCTGGTGAGTCGTATGAATGCAAAGAGGAAAAATTTCTTTGGACATAACTCGTTCACGGACAAAATAACAGTCCATTTCCACATGCTTCGTAGGCTCAATACAAGATTGTTGGCAATATGATGTGTAGCTTGATTATCGCAAAACAAAGACGTAGGCCCATTTGCATGCACACCAACATCTTTAAGCAGCTAACACAACCACAAAACTTCAATCACAATTGTTGCCATGGCTCGATACTCTGCTTCAGCAGAAGACCGAGAAACAACCAATTGTTTCTTTGTCTTCCAAGGGATGAGAGCTCCTCCTAGTAATACCAAGTACCCGGTCCTCGAACAACTTGTAAAAAGACAACCAAGCCAGTCAACATTACAATATGCAACAAGATTCATTCCTCTATCTTTAGGAAGAAGTATACCTTGACATGGTGAAGACTTCAAATAACGTAAGACACGCAAAGTTGCATCCAAGTGCATTTGACGTGGATCTAACACAAAGTGAGTTAATATATTCACTGAGTAAGCTATATCTGGCCTTGTAGCTTAAGATAGAGAAGCCTTCCCATGAGTCGCCTATATTGTTGTGGATCAACGCTGGAACTGTTTTCACCTTGATGAAGCTTTATATTTTTTTTCCATGGGAAACTTTCTAGGAAAACAGCCAATCATCCCACAATATTCAAGAATATCCAATGCAGATTTTCGTTGACTCAACACTAGACCATCAACAGTTCTTGCAACTTCTATACCAAGAAAATATTTCAGTGGTCCAAGATCCTTGATACTAAACTCCTTGTTCAGATAAATTTTTGTCTCTTGAATCTTTTTTAAATCATTGCCAACTATCACTACATCATCAACATAAATAAGAGCAGCAACGAAGCTCTCCTAGTGCTTGTAAACAAAAAGGGAATGGTCAGCATAGGATTGCTTAAAACCAACACTCAACAATGACGTAGTAAACTTTTGATACCATTTTTGCAAAGCTTGTCATAAACCATAAAGAGACTTCTGTAATTTGTATGCTTTTGTCTCTCCTTCCTTGGCGAAACCTTGTGGGATCTTCATGTAGACGTTTTCATCTAAGTCTCCATGTATAAAAGCGTTATTGACATCCAACTGATGAATGATCCAATCTTTCTTGATAGCAACTGAGACCAAGGTACAAACTAGGGGTGTCGAACGGGTAAAATTTTCAGGTTTCGGGTAGAACGGGTCGGGTAGAACGGGTATTTCCTTAATAAAATAATACCCGATACCCTACCTCTATTGTAATTCGGGTTTTCGGGTTTCGGGTATTCGGGTTTGAGGTCGGGTCGGGTAATTATCGGGTATACCC